TCCTGATCCTGGGAGAGTAGCTACAATGCCGGCTGTTCTGACTCACAGACTGTAAGTACTTTTTCATTTTAAGGATCAATTCCTTCTTGTTTTACATTTTTAAACAAAAATCCCCTAATGGCCCAGAAAGCATGTTCAGATTGTGCAACACATTCATAATTAAAAGGAACAGGGAGACACTCATTGGTGAAGAATAAGTGTTGCATTCTGGTCTCAGTAGCTCACTCTTGTGGTAAGCTATGGTAAAGATGTAAAAGTCTTGTTTTTTTCTTTTTGTTCAAGACTTAAACTTTGACTTGAAACATGATGTAACTAAAATGCAGACAATTGTGCATATGTGATATATGCCTTCCAAAGCAGTAACCTATTCTAAATGAAAAGAAAAAAGCCTAAAAAAACTCTCAAACCAAATGTAAAATTAAAACAAATAATTGAAGAAAAACAAATTGACCATAAAATCAGTTTAGAGTTTCTTTGCTTTTAAAATATCACAATATATTTAATTGTACGTTCTGTAATTCAGCAAAATGAATAAAACAGGTCTGTAAGGCACAATGTATCCAGTAGGTTCTCCACCATATATTTTCAGGCTTCATTATCTTTTAAAATAAAATAAATTTCCCATAAAATAAAATTCATAAAGACAGCTCATTACACTTAAATAATACAGTTCCCTTTCATGGGAACTTCGAACTGCGTCCTATAGGGGTCGCTATCGGGAACGCCTCGTCGTGACCCGTGTCTGAAGCATACATTGAAAAAACACAAACAACACGTTGGCCGGCGACAGCCATGATGTCACTACTGGTGCGACTATAGTATAAATAAGCACCGGGAGAACACATCATCCTCTTCTTCGTCTTCATTGACTGTTTTGTTTGAAGCGTGCATTTCTGTGGTAAGAGCGATATCGATTCATATCGTTATGGCGAGCACTAGGTTTCTTCAAGCGTTTAAGAGGATGTGTGCATCCGTGTTGTCGTTGTTTAACATCTGATGACACACACGATCTATGCATCATTTGTTTGGGCGAAGAGCACGTACGCGATGTCTCCGAGAGGGCAATCGGCATGCACTGCGAGCGTTTTTCCAATGAAAAAGCTCTGCTCTCGTTTGTCTCTCTTTTCGAGGAAAGACGCCAGCCATCTGCTTCCCGCGATTCAGGACCCACCGCTGCTGAGGCACGGAGGAGAATGAGCTCGTGGGGATTGCAGGTGGATCTGGCCGATGAGTTTGAAGAGGGGTTTTCCCTCT